TGTTGAGAATAGGTTTTGGCAGCCGTGTGAGAAATCCATGTTGGAAGAGTCGGTACGGAATATGTGTGTGTCCTCCACTACATTCTCACATCTGGACCACATATTAACACATTAATTATGTCATCATATCAAATGATACGTCAAGATTCCTCCATGCTATTACGCTGTCATGTTTTCCATATTGCGGTGTTCACTCTTCTTCTGTTGGATATTTTTAGACTTTTCATGTGTGGAATGTAGATAATTGCCATATTTAGTCAAGCTAAAGGGATAGGCTGAATTAAATCATGTCTCAGTTCTTACTTTTATACATATTTAGACCACTTATTACATTCAAAGTTGTAAATTACATCATAAAACTTTGTAATTGTGAAACTTTCACATCCTTTGTGTTTAGCTATACTTCTTCAGCTTGTCTAAAATCACAGGCTTGATTTTCTACAAAAATTGTGAATTATCTATCCATCCATTTTTGTAACCATTTATTGCTTAATGGGGGACTTGAGCCTATCCCAGTAGTCAATGGGCGAGAGGTGGGTTACACTCTGGATGGTCCTCCAGTCCATCGGAGGAGCAAATTGTGAATTACTTAAGGTTAATTAATTTTTTTCCAAGATGTTCTGGTGTTTAATTTTAAAATCAATATCAGAGACAGCAAATATTATCTATGGAACCTGAAAAAAGAAAAGAGTTGCGGGAAAAGCTGTAAAACATGGAAGGAATAGAAATGGAAAAAATAATTTTCACGGCAAAATGGGCAATAATCATAGCTTTACTGAAAGAATGACAGTACTGTCAATATATTGAGCAAACTGCAACTTACATCCTTTTTTCTGTTTAAGACTCTACCATTAGTCATGAAATATCCACACAATGCACTTAATAAGGACCGCCTGTCAATGAATAGAAGACATTCAGTGATATGTGGTACCAAAACCTCTGACACAAATGACCAACTGTACCCAATTGCAATTTTTTTAGTGTGTGTCAAATGTTGTCCCTCAAAGAAAATGTGATTGTTATTGCTGGCTGTTTATTCTGAGTCATACTAAGTCATACTAAAATCAATCACTGCTCCACAAAGACCCACAGACTGGCAGACAGGAATATTCTCAGATGCAAGTGAAAGGCAGAGAACAACAAATAATCACAAAAAATATATATGAATGGAAAAGGGAGACTTCCACAAACTAGCTGTTGTAGATTAACATGTAGAAAAAATAACCGTATTTCCTTCAAAATACAACATTCATAGAGGCAGTATTGACCTATAATAAAAGAACATGGGACATTTATCTCAGTGTATCCCAGATTCAACCCAATTCCAAAACACGACTTAGGATACTGGTACTTCTAATGACCATAGAAGTGACTGGGATAGTGCTTGGCTATTTTTCTTTATTGGCCTTGACTGTTGTTCCTTCAAGGGTGGAATCTGCCGTTTTTCTCAATGGCAGCCTCCTATTGCAAACCTTAATTACATTAAGATTAAGATGTCTGCTTGATGTGAGAGGAATTGAGTGTAAAGCGTCAAAGTGACATCTAATAACATGATGATAGCACAGTAATCAGAAATGATTTAGTCCAAACCATGATGTTTTTTTATCATAGTGTCCCAAATTGCCAATGGTGATGGGATGGATGAAAAATGCAAGTGCCAGCGAAGGGGGGAACCAAGGCACAGAAACTAAATTAATTTTAAAAAGATACCAAACAAAAATACAACTAAACTGGGGGAAACCAAAAACCTAGAAATAACAACACCAAGGAACGGACATGATACAGGAACACGGAAGCAAACTGGCAGAGGCATATTGTGATGATCTGGCAAGGAATAAAAAGGAATAAAAAAGACTGCCAGGCCTTTATTGAGGGGAGTGGGATTATTGAATGAAGAGCAGATGACTCATGGAACACAGGCTAACAGAGTTGAGTTAATTCTGCAGAGCAGAACAGGAATGAACTAAAGGGAGATGTTGGAGATGTAGGAGAAGAACACATGAAGCTCAGAAAGACACCAGAGTAAAACACAGAAAACTAAGGTACAGGGAAACAGAACACACCATAAACTGAACACAAACCAAAACCAAAGTCCGAAAACGCCAATGGAAACCTCTGCCCATGACACCTAGCCAAGTACTTTTGATGTCTCACCCTCAGGAAGTGATGTGAGTTCTTTAATCTCATTGGGGAATGACTAAGTGTATATGTAATATGTTTTTCTGTCGATTTGGCAACAATATAACCAGCAGTATAGTTTCTATTACGTATTTTAGCTCTGATAAATGGATTGATTTTAACCCCTAACAAAATAATAAAAACTTAACCCAATGAGGTAAAAGTGTTGTACTAATGTTGTTGTGTTTACTAAATATAATCCAGATGTTAAAACATGCTTCTTTCATTTTAATAGGAACATTGAGAAAAAAGAAGGATTTTATTTTGATGGATGTTCATTTCATAAAACGTGCCACTAGAAAGAAATAAAAGATGGAGCACTCTGCAGGATGATTCATCTAAAGACCATGAATCCTAAAGTTCAGTGAAAACACAGCAAGCCGTTCTGTTGTTTCATTGTAGACAAAACCTTTGGATTAATAGACTGATAATAACTAATCTTCATGGATGTGTGACAGAGAGAGAAAAGATTGAGGCTGGTGACTATTTTATTCTGAATAAAAGCATATTCTCATCTTATTCAACATTGAAACAAAACCCAAATGATGACAAATAAAAAACAAGTCAAAGTCACCTCACAGACTCTGTGATTCATTACAAAAGTCTGGAACTCCCTTGTATTTTTAGCTGCCTTCATCCTGATGTGTTTCACAGTTATTGGGCAGCTATGCCTGAACATGTGTTTAGCATTTGGTGGAGTGATTTTCTATACTTTCAGCCCATAGAATTCTTGTGTAACATGTAATGGATATGATCTTTTCATTTCTATCCCTTTTGGTTTTTGTGGTCCTGCAACCTACACACGTCATAATAAAACAATATTCACACCAACTGCATTTGAAGTTTTGTCAATTTTGGTGGGGATTCTTATGAAGGGTCAACTGTTAGTTAGTCTGATCATTTTCTTTAAATCTGTGCATTTTTGATAATGTATTGTGTGTTTGTTCCTAATGATTTGGCAAGATTTCTTGTCCTTGTCATTTTCAACCCATCTTTTTTAATATGTGAAGGATGCAGCACTTCAAGGGATCATGATATGCTTTATTGGTACATATATTGTGAACTTTTCTCAGCAAAAAGCCATTGTTTGTCATATCAAGGTCACAGATATTTAGAATTAACGATAAAACACTTTCAATTTAGTTTAAACAGCTCAGAAATTGTTCACAAAAACTATTTTATAACAAAAATCCAGCCTCTTTTATTGTTAGAGAGCATGGAAAACATACGTCTGTGGGGAGGAAAACAGTCTTAATTTAGCTGAGTTTGAAACTTTACAGGACATTTATATTGGCCACTTGGAGTCAATCTTCTTGTTTCACACACAATTTATCTTCCACGGATTACTTTCTTGCCCACCAAGAATTGGGAGAAATGTAAGATGATGAAATTTAGGAATCCAGAATTACATAGAATTATTTTTTTAGATGGGTATAGGCATGCAGTGGCAGATGGCACCAGTGTGAAAATTTGTAGCTTCCATCACTGTAACAGTGCTACTGTATGTGCTATGAACAACGTATAGTACCATTTCTACAACTCACAAGTATAAAATACTTCTACTTTAATCACAGAAGTTTAGCATTTTTGTATCAGGAAAAAGGCTTGACTTAGGAATTAAACACCTAAGATGTTTTTTTTTTTTAACTAATAATTTAAACCCACCTTAAAAACCATTTGCTTGTATTAATTATTGTATCTGCTGTAGATACATTTGGACTGATTTGAAGAATTTGCTCCATTGTAGTAGGGTTTGTGGGCATTAATTGAGTGTAAAACTATCTTAAGATATTACATCAGTATTTAAATATGGGTTGCAATCTTGACTGTGACAGGGCCAGTGAAGCAGGTAGATTATTTCATATTTCTCAGTTGTTTGATTGCTGGTCAAAGGAGGATTATTGTCTTGTTGAAAGATTCAATATGTTGGATAGGCAGCCAAACATTTCACTCAAAAATACAGTTTATGGTGCACTGCAGGACTATCCAAGGAAGGTAAACCATTATCCTGTTCACCACTATCTACCTAGTCTTAGGTATTGTTTTTATAATTGTAATTTTGATGGAAATTCTGTGGCACGTGGATTTAAGGTGAACTTCCTGGGATATGCACCCCTGAAAATACTGTACAGAATTGTGGTTTTCAAATGATTTCAAAGGAAGCAATATTTGCTTATCTAAAAATATCATTTTTCTTTTATCTTTACTAGCCATCATCGCTTTCTTTGTAAAGGTATTGTGAACACACTTGGATCAGTTAAGCAAGTTAACTGTCAAAACTTTAGCTTTTATAGACATGGTTTAACTTGAGCTTTATATTCTTTATTTAATAAAGAATATAATGACTAATTGTCATACAATTTCTGCATTTTGTCAGTTGTTATCCAACATGTAATGACACAGTTTACTATAATTTTGTGTCCTCTGTTGAAAGGCTGTCTACATCCTGGTTTCTGTTTGACTTCTGTCCATCTCTTTTAATGAAGGAAACCATGATGACTCAGGCTCATGCCAGTGATCAGACATTCCACTGTCTGGCCAGAAGAAGTCTAGTTGGGTTTTACAAGTATTACTGGGCTTTGAACATTTCAATTGTGGATATATCTGCTCTTTATACGTCTTTTTAAAACATGACCCACTAGATGTGTATGACTAATATATTTTTCTCCCCTTAGCTCATGGTAAGCTGTGCAAACCCAAGAGTGCCACAAGACTGGAAAGAAGGAGGAGAGGAAAAAAGAGGGAGTGGAGGTGTGGACGTGTGTTTGGAAGTGGAAATGGGTAGCTGGGAGGAGGAATGTGAAACATTTCTGATGCTGGTCCGGTGGCTGTTTACATGGTCAGCCCATGACATCAGAGTTCAGACTTTATAAATGTCAGCAGGCACAAGAATGAGCAGTTAACAAACTGTTACACCAGTCGCACCATACCATCACACAGGTTAGGGATAGACTGAGCTCCATCAACTACAAAAGCCCCAATGGACCCAACACTATGTGACTGCTGGACTGCTTTGGTTGGACTGCTGTGTGTGACTACACAGGTGAGGCCTACTCCTACTTGTCTATGGTAATTTGTTTCAGTATGTGTGAAAGATGTGAAAGTTAAAAAGATTATACTGACTTCTTGTACGTCTCTAATGTTTCTGTCACAAGATTGTGAAATCTTCCTAAACAAGGAAAAAAATCCCAACAACAACAAGTTCTTTCATAAATTAATGTTATTTAACTCAATGCGTCATTTATCAGGGAAAAAATACCTGATTTTAAAAAGAGACTAATTATGGAAACAAGCATAGTGAAGGGATGTTTTTTTCTTAAAAATATTCTGTACTATTAAATCACATGCTTGGTTTTTTTTGTTTGTTTTTTTGCTTTAGTACAACAATATAAATATTCAGAAGATGCAATGCATTCATTATTATTGTGAACATGTTGCCTGGTGGGTTCAAGCTTAATATGGGTATGTGTACCTTTATGCTGTACCTTGCTAGGCAATAAGCCAGCTGTTTTTATCTTAAAAGTACTTTATACATGAATTTGCAACAGTTATAACTGCCCAGATCTTGTCTACAACTCCATTACATACATGAGATTGGAACCAATGATTTGTCCTGAAGGTTTTGGATACTGATACGGTTTCCAAGACCTACTTAAAGATTCCTTCTCATTTTCAAAAATTTAGTCTGGATGATCATTTAATTGAAATAGAGACTGAAATATGAATTTTAACATGAAAACTCTGACATTGTGCTTTCACCATTTTTGTTTGTTCTGGTGAGCTAATATAAGTCTTCATTTTGTTCCTTCAGGTGTTATGTCAGTTGTGTGACAGGCCCTGTTCCTGCCCTGATGCTGCCCCTAATTGTCCCGCTGGAGTCCAACTGGTGCTGGATGGCTGCGGTTGTTGCCGGGTGTGTGCTCGACAACAGGGAGAGCCCTGCACTGAGATGTTACCCTGTGACACCCAAAAAGGACTACGGTGCGACTACAGCGCCAGCTTCCCGGGGGATCCCGGACAGTGTGAAAGTGAGTGCTCCCTCAAAGAAGCAAACAACCTGGCCCATGATTAAGAGGGTTATTTGGAATAGGAGACTCAGGGAATGAATGAAAGACCCACAGCCCACTCACATGTTGAGGGCACATAGAGAGTCTGCATAGAGTGTCTGCAGATGGATAGTGGTCTGCCAACATCCAAAATGCTTCAGCAACTATTTCAAAAACTGTCTTTGATACATTTCCTCTACTCTTTGAACATGATAGATTGCAGATAATATTCTTATGGATTGCAAAATAGACTGCTCAGTTTCCCCAATGAGAGGGGTCTGCTTTCCCTTAACCCTGTAATGCCAAATGTATCATATTTGATACCTACGGTTTCTAAAATGTTTTGCGTCTGACACCTTTTGCATAATTTAATGGTAAAAACGTTGCTCAAAATCCTATTGTATATAATCAGATACACCTGATAACAGGGGGCAGAAGACTACACAAAAAACAATCTACCTATCACATAGTAATAGATTATTAATATCAAAAATGTATTTCTGTTTTTTCTTTTTACATATTTTGTTAAAAGGCCAAATAAAGACTTAAAATCCCCCCAAAAGTTATTTTCTGTTTTGTTTTATTCTTGGATCAGGCTTTAAAGGGTTAAAGCTGCCCAATCATGTGTAGGAACAGCATCACCAATGTCATCTCTCTCTTTTACCTTCCTCTACCATGTACTCACTTCGTTTAATCTTTTCCCTTCTCTTTAACTTTCAGAAATCCAATATGCAGACATGCTTAACCCTATAATGCCAAATGTATCATATTTGATACACAGGGTTTCTGAAATGTTTTGCGTCTGAAACCTTTAGCATAATTTAATGGTAAAAACTTTGCTCAAAATCCTATTGTACACAATCAGATACACCTGATAACAGGGGGCAGAAGACTACACAAAAAATAATCTCGACTTAATTATTAATATTAAAAATGTATTTCTGTTTTTTCTTTTGACATATTTTGTTAAAAGGGCAAATAAAGAATTCAAACATAAAAAAAGTAATTTTCTGTTTTGTTTTATTCTTGGATCAGGCTTTAAAGGGTTAAGCAAATATGGTGCTTCCTGTGCTGTTTCTCTTACAGGTCAGAAGGATCTTGGCTGTGAATTTAATGGTATCACTTATCAAGAGGGTCAGTCATTTCAGCCTTCCTGTAATGCTTACTGCCACTGCAGAGATGGAGGTGTGAGCTGCGTGCCGGTTTGTCCAGTTGATGCTCGGCTCCAAACTCCGGACTGTCCTAACCCACAATACATCCGGCTACCAGGGAAGTGCTGCAGGGAATGGGTGTGTGAAAACCTTGATAACACAGTCCTGCAAGATGCCATCACAGGTAAGTATTTGAACGCGTGCATGACCTCACTGTTCAAACATCCTCCAGTAATTAGGTATTTGTATATTTTCGTGTACATTTATGTTATTGACTCAGTATCTAAGAACAAGAAGTGCCCCCTCTTAGATGGTGTGACTTTATCTCATGGATCATAACATACTAATCAGCTGTGACACAAATGGTATACTGGAATACTGTTTTGACTATCTGAAGAAAAAAAAACTCCTTAAGGGTCTTACTCAACTCTTGATCGATTTAGGCTGTCAGTAGTGGGGTATGTTGGATTGCCACAGAGGATGGAAACACAGAAAAATTGCAATAGTGGGCAATCATCTGATGCTAAAATAACTGTAAAATGTACAGTTTATAGATTTACCAATTACATTTGTGACATTTGAGCTTAAATAGTGAAGACTTTCCCACTGTTTTTTTCTTGTGAAAAACATTTATATATGTCTGGTGTGGTTCTTGATCTTCCAAACTGTATTCTAACTGTCTACTAAAGGTAAAATAGCAGTCAGGTCTGGTAATGAACAAAACATTATCCAGAGTCTAGGTGCTTGTGATTCTTTATATGCGGTTTGACTGAACTTCTCAGCTTTAGCTGTTTCTCAGTGATTACCATCTATTTAATATATCAATCCATCCATTACCTTTATGAGTTCTGTCACCAGTGGTCATGTCTGGAAGTTTTTACTGGGGCATTATTACATTAAAATTGGGTGTGTCTGGCCAAAGGAAAACTCCCATAGTCCAAATATAAGCCACATTTTCAGTAAAGGTATTTTTATTTTCTTGCTGTTTCCATGTTTCGTAACAAAAAACCACAGCCAAGAGAAAGTTAAACATTTAAACCCATGAAGGGATTGTGTTGCCCTGTTAAAAGAGGGGTGTGTGAGTGAGAATTGTATGAGACTGTTTGGGAAATGAAGCCTGAAAACATCTGGATTTCTAAACACTGTCTGAGTCAAATTACATTATGGTAAGGGTAATGGAACATTTTGTTCTCAAGTAAAAAAACTTGAGATGTCATTCTTGAATATCAGCTGGTTATTCTGGCTTGAAATTGTTACCCTCAGGAAGGACATTTGTTACCCTTTTGATGATCTTTTTTTTTTAATCTAAATTTAGGCCAAGGGTTTTAAAAGCTCAACTTTGAAGAGGGAAACAGATGTTGAGCATGAAAACACAGAAACACAAAAAACATTGAGCAGCGTAATTTCTGGAAAGTTTTATTGGAGGATCTTGGCATAAAATTGCTTTGTATCTGGCCATAAGAATACTGACAATACAATCACTTACAATGAAATACAATACAATACAAGGCAATGTCCAAATAAAAAACATACGTTTTTTTTTACCATGACACCGGGCCAGGTATACCAAATGAGAAAGACAACATCAATTTATAAATTACGACAATAATTGTATTGTATTTCAAGCTAGCCTTTGTTATTCAACAATAACAAAGGCTATCTTAGATTACAAATTCTGATTAACACAGTCATGATTTTAAATAAACATTAAACATTCATTTTGACTTTGTTTTTCATTTGAGCCTAACTTTATTTCCTGAGATTCTCGGATTGATTTAGATTTTTTGTTAAAAGGTCACAGTGGGGCTAAAAACCTGCTACCACCTTTTTTTCGGATGTCTATAATGAATTATTTTACATGTGTTTCAGCAAAGAATAAATCAAATGCACTCAAACAGTTTTAGATGAAGGAATGGTAATAAAGTTACATTTTCAACATCAAGAGTATTTCTATTGCTGATGATTGGCAAAGGTCACTTAATTTACAACAGTAGAGTTCATTGAGGTAGGACTGAATAATTATTAAACCTGTTACATTGACAAGTGCGGGGTTAGCAGGTGTTCACAACAGCTAATGCTAAGACCAATGAAAAATGGCTCAGCTGAATGTTAAATTACGACTACGTATATAATCTTTCAATCTTAGCATGTTAGCTTAGAGGCGTTTTCTGGAACTACAGCATACTTTGTATTAACTCTATTTGCTATGTTGGTTTACTTTCTTCCAGCCATGAAACTGGACAGGTGGTCTGCTCTGTCAAGGAATCACCCTCTAAGAAAACTGGCTCCTACCTGTGTAGAAAGGAGCACTAAATGGAGCGCCTGCTCCCAGAGCTGCGGGGCCGGGGTCTCCACAAGGGTGTCCAACCAGAACCCCACCTGCAAGCTGCAAATGGAAACTCGACTTTGTAAAGTGCGGCCTTGCCATGATGTGCAATCGATCTTGAGGAAACCCGCGGTAGGTTGAAAAAAAGATGTTCTCGTGAGAACTGTGCAATCACATGATTTTCATGCACACCCAGTCATGAATGATATAGTCAAACGTCAACCTAATCACAAAAACTGGTGCAGACTTTTTACACACAATATTTAATCAAATAATCATAGCTTTCCTGTACTTCTTTTCTACAAACTGTGCAGATTTTTAGATTATCATCAGCCAACAATCGAAAGAGTTAGGTAAACATTTGTAAAGGTAATCATGGCCAAAGGATTCAGACTCTTAAGCTAAACCAACTTCCTTAAAGACTATATTTACTGATTAAGGTCCCAAAATATACTTTCAAAATTGACAAAAAAAACAACTCAAGCACAATTCCAGAATATAGATAGAGCAAGTAACTACCTTTTAATTTCCTCTTTTACTTCAGTCGCTTTATTGAATACATATTTCTTGAAACCAGCGCTTGTGTTTCAAATTAAACTATAGACTGTAAATTAAATTAAAATAACCTATACCAAGACTTTAATGATCTGGTCTGGTGCTCCGCTTAGAAGTTAAAAATACAATTTGAGTTCTGCATTACCTTTAATGCTTCAGCACAAAGTGGAGTGCATTTTTATTTCAGATGGCATCCCTTCTCAGAATCTTAAGAGTTGTTGTTCCATTTTCTTAAACTAGGAACTAACTGAGTAGCTTCTTCAGGGCAGTGACTGGGAAAATTCAATTTGTGGAGTCTGATCTAGTTCAGTGAAGTTGACCTAAAGTCCTTTCTTATAAGTTCCTCCTCATCAATATCCATCTCCCTTAATTGATGCAGTGCTAATGCTTTTGGTAAAATGTTTTCCCAGAGGGGACAGCGAGAGAGGTGTAAACCCAGTTACACATCACCGAGGCCCGTTCACCTCGTTCAGCGAGGGTGCTACAGCCTTCGGGCCTACCGGCTGCGGTACTGTGGACAGTGCACCAGCTCCCTCTGCTGCACGCCTTACCAAACCTCTACTGTTCAGGCAACCTTCCGCTGCCCCACGGGCAGACTTTTACAACGAGCCGTGATGATGATCCATTCATGCGTGTGTCACAACTGTCCTTATGTGCCGTATACTAACCCTGCTCTTTGGGGATACAGGCCATGAGTGGGACTGATGCACTAAGAACAGTAAGATAGATTCAACGGCTGAAAGGTGACAGATTTTTTTTTTGTCCCCTGGCAGTTCAACATAACCAATAATGGAGAAAAAAGAGAAGACAGTTATGACAGGAAATAGAAAAAATCAACGTTGATCTATACACACAGACAAACTTTGCACTAATTCCTACCTTTTTCATATGTTCTGCAAAATTCAGGATATTCTGGAAATGACTAAATTACTACATTTTCTTTTGACTTCATCCAAAAATGTGTTAACAAAGAAGCTAAAGCATCATCAACGGGAAAGATTTATTGGTAAATTCGCACTTGAGTAGATGAAGATTTCTCAAGATTTGCACTCATTTGTAGTCTAAACAATTCAATTTGAATTGGCATGGGGAAAAAAACTACACATACAGTAAATGACTGTTTTATACAAAAATAAATCCATCAATTCAGCTGATTTCACTGATCAAAATAGTAATTGTTTCCAAGATGTATTTAGGTATCTGTAATTCTAAGTTTCATTGTATTTCTCTGTTAATTCCAATGCATTTTTTTGCTCAGTTTTTCCCACAGAACGATTCTGAACCTTGTGTTGACAGAAACAATGCAACTTTTAACTTGTACAGTTTTGCTATTGAGTTTATATTTGACTACATTGCACTTATTTTTAATTTAGTATTTTTTTGTATATAATTCTGAACAGATGTTTAATGCCTTGCATTATACATGCCCTGCATTTTCACTGAATTTTGTGTGTCCTGTTTATGCTTTTCAAATTAGTTTTCTGATTAAATTTCTTTTGTACATGATGTATTGTGTTGACTTTGGTTTATAGTTTATAAACCAAAAGTTTGGTTTATAATCCATATTTTGGTTTATAGGGAATGCCTATTTTAACACACATTGTCTTAAATATACTTTCCATTACATTCACACTATTAAGTAAGCTGATTGAATGACTCAAGTAATATTATTTTTGTGAAGTTATTTTTCATGTTTGCTACATTGTCCATTTATATTCAAACATTCATTATGTCTTCAAGGGTTTTTTTGTTGGACCTGATGGCATTAAATGTTTTTTGTAACCTGTTGTGACACATAGTGGAATAAATATTCCAATGCAGATCATGAAATTTGGTACCTGTAGCTTTATATATCAAGAGGTGACTTCGAAACAAACAAACAAAAAAAGACTATCACTTAAATTCCCTGACAGGCATTTTATAAAGGGGGCAATGAAAAAAAGTTCTTAAAACTGTTCTGACAATAAATATGAAATCATACTTTTGTAGAAGAAAAATCATCAGCTAAGCATTTCTTGGGATCACAAGTCACATAAGTTCTCTTTAAATGCCATTTACTAAAAAAATGCTTTTTTGGGACAACAAATATGGTTATATTTAGGTAAAAAGTCAATGCAGACAAATTACATTAAAATACACAAAAACTGCAAATACACATGGACATAACTTGAAATAACACAAAATTGAATTATGTAAACCCTAGATATAGTACATAAAAATATTTGTCATATCTAATTGGGGAGACATTCATTTTGAGTGTTAGCACCAGCAATAAGAGGTTTACAAAGTTCAAAATGGAACTGCAAATAAAAAGATATCAAGTTCAAATATCAATATTATAATAATATTTACATATTTTAAGGTAACCAGAGTCCATGGTATATTCCTTAAAAGTGTACCATATGAGTCAGATGTTAAATGCACAAGCAATATTTTCAGCATGAAGATGAACAAAATACTTGTGCCATTATTACATTTTGCACAGTCTGAGTATGTCAGATTTGTAGAAGGTTGTTTCTTGACTTGAATTATCCAATTTTAAGGCCCAGGGAGGGCCATGCAATTGGTCCTCAGTATTTTCTTTTTTAGAGGGGTTACAGTCGAATGTTGTTCGCAGCGAACCTGCAACACTATCAAGAAGATAATCGACTTGGGAGGGACTGAAATTAGCATAAGATAATTACTTATTTAGGTATAGCACTATCAGACTGACATCTTGTATAGAAAATTTTGCCCAATGGAGGGTAATTTAGCAATACAAGCTCGAAAGTTATCCAACAGTGGTCAGATAAGGGGGGATTCTGTGGGAACACTATTAAATGTTCAATTTCAATACCGTACACCAGAACAAGGTCAAGGGTGCACTATTGCTCTTGTGGTTTTTAATTATTATAAGGTTTTAATGCAAAGCTCCTCATCTGTTTACCTTTGATTTAAATATTTTCAATGGTCGGGGGAGAGACATTGTCACTACAGGGTTTTCACTAAGTAACTCCTGCAATGGAGGAATAGAGAGGTGTGTTAGAACTCTGCGTATGGTTTGGGATGGGTAACTGCTGAACTAGAAGGGCCTCCTGGTCTCAACTCTGAGTTGTCATGGTCCACTAATAAAGTTGGCCAGATTTCTAGAAATGAGAGCTGCTCCTTCCCAAGTGGGATGGATGCCGTCTCTCTGAGTCAGACAAGGCCATCCATGGAATGCCTGCCAGTTATCTACAAAGCCCACACCGTTTGCTGGACACCAACTCAATAACCAGCAGTGGAATGACATCAATGCTATACTGTACATGTCATCAGTGGTCAGATTGGGCAGGGGTCCAGAAAAAACTACAGTGTCCGACATTGTTTTTGCCAATGTACATACCGACTCAACATTAATCTTAGTGACATCTGATTGGCGTAACGGGGAGTCATTACAGCTGATGTGTATAATTCAATTCAATTCAATTAAATTCAACCGTAGTTGTAATTGTAGCAGAGTAGGAGGGGGTATCATGCATTTAGGGAATGAGGTTGCACTGAGAGGGGGAGAGAGAAAGGAGAGGGGGAGCTCGTTGCATCATGGGAAATCCCTCGGCAGTCTAGGCCTATTTCAGCATAACTAAGGGTGGACTCACCTAAGCAGCCCTAACTATAGGCTCTATCATAAAGGAAATTCTTAAGCCTACTCTTAAATGTAGAGACGGTGTCTGTCTCCCTGACCCAAACTGGAACCTGGTTCCACAAGAGAGGACTCATAGCTTTACGCTCTGGCTCCCATTTTACTTTTCTAGGAACCACAAAGAATCCTGCATTCTGGGAGCGCAGTTCTCTGGTGGGGCAATAAGGTACTATGAGTTCTTTAAGAGAAGATGGTGCCTGACCATGAAGAGCTTTGTATGTAAGATGGATTTTAAATTTTATTCTGGATTTTACAGGAAGCCAATGCAGAGAAGCCAAGACAGTAGAAATATGATCTCTTTTAATGGTTCCTGTCAGAACACGTGCTGCAGTCTTAATGGGCTTTCCCAAAGAGCCTGATAATAGGGAATTGCAGTAATCCAGCCTAGAAGTTACAAATGCATTGACCAGTTTTTCTGCATCGAAGCATCACATCACAACAGTCATCTCACAGTGCTTTTCATAAAGAGCAGGTCTAGACCGTACTCTGAAGCCCAACAGTTTTATCCATCAAACCGAATTCTCAGAGTTTCCAAGTTGCGAGTGTATCAACTCGGAGACAATGATCTAACTCAGAGTTTGTTGAACCTACCTCATGAAATGGAGCCCAGGTCTTCTGCATGAACAGCAGGGGCTACTAGTATCATGGTAATCAGGTCAATTTCTGTACTCTATCTTCATGAAAACTGGTTGAGATACAAAACTATTTACCTTTGTATTTCTAGTATTTTGTCTGTGTCCATTCCCCTGACCCTTGGCTCCACGAAGCATATGTAATTCACATATAGCTTAGTACTGACATCTGGTGAGAATTCCTATAGCCTCTAGAAATTTAGTTTTGTCACACTCTTTCTATTCTCCAAGAGAGAGTCAATATACTGTATATCATCCAGTGTCTTCACAAATAGAACATAGTTTTAGTTTTAAGTTAGATTGTCAGCATACATTTTTCTATGTGCAGCAACAATCCACTTCTCAGCAACCTTTGCCTCTTTCATGCAATCTCTATGGGTGCTGCCTCTCCCCAGCTATGTGTGTACATTTGTGAACTGTGGCCCTGGCAAACATTAAAGGACAAGCCCAGCGTGCTGCTATCATATGTCCCAAGTGTCGCAAAACGAGAAGGCTCTGAAGGGTGGGGGTGGGTTGAGAATATTTTGGCACAGGGGGTACAGCTTCTTTAAAAAGAGCATTAGCTCTTGCCTCTGGCCAGATAATCCTATGTGCTGACTTTGTCAGCGGGTCTACTGGGTTTTGTTTATTAGAAGGTTCGCAAAGAATGGAGCTTCCCCAACTGGAACATGTGAGGCGCCGCAGGTGTGACAGTGCAGGTGAGATCCCAGATAAACTGGCCTGGCAGAGAACAAGCCACTACAGTTTACCAAAGAAAAATCGATGCACCATTTAACATGTGCTGCTGTTATACAGTGGCTCATGCTAAGGGTTTCTTTCCAGGACAACAGCACACATAAACAGACTTTTTCAAAAACGTCCTTTAGATAAGCCAATTTATGTGTGCTGTATAACAGTGTAGAAGTAAACATAATTGTCTGATCGACTTAAGAAGTGCTTTTCTATGTTTTTGTCGGGTACTATGCTATTGAAATCTTGAAAAAATAAAATAAAGAGAGATGCTTTATGTTATTTGTTTGACAGTTCCTTTTTAAATTCCTCTTATACCCTTTAATGTTAAAACCCTGAATCAAATTAAGAGTGGGAGTAGAAAAAGCAGAGACACAAATCTAGCATGGATGATGTTTATGGCAGAATACATTCAACTCCTGCCAGGGGATTCAGCCAATAGCATTCCTTGTATTTCTGAATATTTTTTGGATGGTCCTACAGCAGGAAACACTGACCATCACTGCCGAACACTAAAAGCCTGTTATATTTATAAAACAGGTCAAAATAAGGTACATGATGTCTTAAGTTATTGGAATGAACGTTATTCAAACTTAAGTGGCATAGAACTTTGTCACATATTACCCTTTTTTGGGGAATATTTCTTTATACATTATTTCTTATGCTTTTCTCAATATTCCCAATATTGGCTGGGGACTGTTACTAAAAATAAATATGTATTGACCTAGATAAAAGTAATTAGATTGGATAAAGTAGCTTTTGTCCATAGCAATTTACAGGGATGCAGGTTACAGATACATACAACTTGTATACCACTGTAAAAACATCTGAACTTTCTTTATGTTAAATGTTCACCCATTTTAGTTCTTATTGGACCCAGCTTCTTGACTTCTCTTCTCTTACTATCTCCTTTTCTCTTGATATAACGCATGCTGATGGACAAATGAAATGTTTTATGCACTCACTGGTTTTGAAGTTTTTCATTTGAGAGAACTTCCATCTTCAGCAGCCTCTTAGGAACAGTTTACTTGGTAACAAGAAAGGCAACATAATAGAGTATAAACCCAGACCTTATATACCAGTATATAGTATTGAACTATTTTTTTTTTTTACTGACACAACGATTTTTTTCTATCCAATTGTATTGAACAGTCATTGAATCTTTGGAGTCTGATTAAAAGGTTGAAACTGCCCTCTAGTGGAAGAAAAAACAAAGTCCCTCTGCTGTTCCTGGACTAGTAAACAAACAACTTGTGCCCAGCCAGCTGTCTTTATTTATACTAGTCTGGCAGACTCTGTTCTTGTACTCAGACTGAGAACCAAGCTGTGCTCACGCTACTGTTGTGAATTATGATGAATAATGATTTCGCTCCTATCCGACAATCTGGCCTCAGGGCATCCTCAATCCCGCTTGCCAAGTTGTTATCCTGAGCAAGTGTCAGCTGACCTGCTGTAGGTAGCACTGCAGGAGCACACACATGTACACACAGATCACAGAACTAAGCACCTCAGTCCTCACTCCTCCACCTGCCACAGAGGCCTCATGGCTTTAACGATTAACACGTCCACAGAGCATGAAAAGCTGACACAGGCTCCTCTGCTCAAGATCTGGGTTCCGTGGATGGGATACAGCTTGAACCGTAGAAGGGGATGTAAGTGCAGTGAAAAATTTTTTGATCTTGGGTAAGAGATTACAATACATTACCTTATCTGTCTCGGTCTTTGGCTTTATTGTCTTTGTCAGATGGAGTTTTTGTCATTGTTCAATTATTGTTATGTCTGGATTAGACTCCTGTCAGAGATATAAGAAGACAGTAGTTCGAGAGGGGCAGAAAAGTGAGCTATGTGAGGACAGGCTTCCTGGAAAAAAAAAAAAACAGGTCATAGCTGGCTCTCTGTACAGTGTCTGACATGGTCATTTGAGTATTTAGCTGAAGCAGCATAACCCATTCATTATCGAACAGCCTGGAGGGTGAAACTCCCTCTGTCCAAACACGAACACACAGGCCATCGGGCTATCTGAGTACTTCTCTTGGAACAATTAATTGGCAAGTAATCCTGTAATGTAACTTTCAACAAAATACAACTGACCATGGCTGAGTAAGATACAGAAATGGTTTCAAGTTATGCTAAAAAAAACGTATGGTTAGAGTTTAAATTTAAACACAATGAGATTTCAACAGGAAATAAGTATTCAGATGCAATGTAGAATGCTTTCTTAAACTTAAATTAAAGTTTTACCTTCACCAAGTAGGAATAGTTGAATGACATTAGGAGGGTTGCTGTTTGTAACAGAGATGGTCTGTATCACCGTTGTGTTGATGCATTTGAACACTCTCAGGTCACTGGGAAGCTCTTTTTACTTTGAATAAATAACCTTAAACACTCTATTCTATTAGGGCTGTTTTTGCAGATTTCTCAAAAATTAAACTTGCAGAAAAAACAAATGATTTTTGTTTTATTTTGTTTAGCTAGATAGTTAGCAAGATAGTTTTGTTTGTCATTCTACCAAAGTAATTCGAGTTGCCGTGGAGCTCTCTGTTAATGAAGATTACATTACCATTGACCCACATTCACGTACGCAACATATGTTTCACCAGTCTGAGCCTCACGGGGCAGGACAGCATTTAATCAGTGGTGGATGCTGCAGTTCAGATCACACATGCAGGAATTCCACTACAGCAAGATTCATTAACTATTCATTAACTTCATATTATTGCGTTGTTTTTCTTCCCAGCATCTGTGCCACAGTTCTGTAACTCTCCAACAGTGATTGTGATGGTGGGATTGCCTGCCAGAGGGAAGACGTACATATCCAAAAAACTCACCCGCTATTTGAATTGGATTGGTGTCCCTACAAAAGGTTAGTTTAAATCCAATTATTTGAAATAAGTAGTACTTTATGGTCTGTTTGTTTGCACATTTAAAGTGAATTTCCTTTGATCATTTTCCAATTCTATCAGTGTTTAATCTAGGTCAGTATCGCAGGGAGGCAGTCAAGACTTATAAGAACTTTGAATTCTTTAAATCTGACAATGAGGAGGCCATGAAGATTCGCAAGTATGTATTAGATTGAAATATGAGTTACTGCACAAGATTATTGCACAACATTTTTAAATAGATTTTATTTGTGTTCTGCTTTAACTTTTCACACATTACACATTTTTTGCTAAAAATGTTTCAGTTTTGTTCCTTTTCCTATACAAGTGTAACTTGTCTCACAGGGCATGCGCTTCTGCTGCTCTCAAAGATGTTGCTGCCTACTTCACAAAGGAACACGGACAAGTAGCTGTGAGTTAAAGGGGAATAGACGTCCTTTGACACAGTTCAACAGTATTTTTTAACCTTGCTGCATGTTGTGGGCAACATAGGATGTTGTTCATCTAGTAAGATATTCAGTAAAAAGTAACTGTAAATGTTTGTGTGTTCATTGCATTATTTAAATAATACAAATAATACCAAAAAAAGTGTTTTGCAAAAATTATAAGTTGAGTTATAGTTAGGTGGATGTTCAGAAAAACACCATCAAAATGTTTAATGAGTAAATCTAACATTGGAAGTGAAAGCTTGTTGATTCTCTGGAAAGACAAGCTCTGCTACACAAAAAGGCAATTGGATCTTGAAGCTTATTATTATGCACAGCTCAAACAGTTTAAAATGGACTATATATGTTATGACAAAGAAGTCAAAGAAATAACATAAGGAAAAAAAAACACAGATGGGGTTCAAGGACTAAGTCTTTGTGGCATTCTACAAGTAAACTATGCTACTGAAGGGGGGAAGTTACAAGTTGACTACAACTGTGTTTCTGAATTTAAGGAAAAGTTACAAGTTGACTACAACTGTGTTTCATATGGTACAGGTTTTTGATGCTACCAACACCACGAGAGAGAGGAGGTCTGCCATTAATAGTTTTGCCAAGGAGAGGGGTTACAAGGTAAGAAGCAGAGTAGCATTCCCAAGAGTAAATGGACAAGACTGACAAAACTAATATTCATGTCATGACTTGGGCTTGTGGTTTTGTTTTTTAGTTTTTGTTAGAATTTTCAATGTGGTTTTGATGATTTATTATATGTTTTTATTCTAGTCAAAAGGTTGAGTTCTCCCTGTGATTTCTGAGAAAATTGTGTATTATCCGCTGTCTGAGTTGTCTTTGATTTTCTAGTTTTCTTGTTTTTAACTTTAATTTCCTATGTGTGCTGTTTCTCTGTGCCTAATATTTTTTTCTGTATCTTTGGTGTCTGTCTTTGTTTCCCATGTTCTTGCCCTACATCCTCATTTTGCTCAGTTCCCTCCTGTGCTGTTTTGTCGTCAACTCAACTATCTTTGATAATTCCTTACCATAATTTCCTTTGTGTTTATGTCAGATGACTTGTTATATGGCATTTCTTCATTTGCTTCTGGACACCATTTCTCTTTGTCCTGGGGCAATTATATTTGGTATTTTCTTTTTATTATAGTTTAAGGATTGTACTTGTTCTTCTGGGTTATAGTTATTTATTGTTGCCCGTTCCTCATTTTTTGGCAAAGACTTTAATAAGTGCTCTGGCTGGCACCCTGTTGTAACCTGTGTGATAAACCCAGAGCCATTACCAAAAAGGCTCTCCACCACGTATGAACACTCCCCTCTGGTTGACAATCTATACATTTTAAGCAACTACTTGTAGGAATTTTGCTAAACTTTGCATAATGACAGAGAGCAGACAGTGCTTGGAATGGAGAACAAATATAAAGATAAATAAATAAATAGAATTCAGGTTCAGGTTGATAGTTCTGTCCCTAGTGTGCATCTGCGTGCCTTAGGGGAGTCACTGAATGTTCACAACAGTTTGTTGGATTTCCCATCTAATCCAGCCAATTCAGAATTCAATAATCAGGGTCTACAGAGTGTGGTAGTTATCACAATCATCACACTGGAAGGCGGTTTCTGGTTTGAATCCCAGCAGAGACATTTCCGTGTGAAGTTAACATGCCCCTTCCAAATGCAATGTAGGTCTCCAGGTATTTCAGCTATCAATCAAAGGCACACACTAGTTGTATTCCTACAGTGACCTGTGAGCCCATTTTGTTAAGTGTCTCCTTTGTCTGTGTATTGCCCTGATGTGGACCTGTGACATGTAAAGCAGGAAATGAATGGATGAACTGACTAGATACATTTGGATATTTGTTCATACTGTTTCCATATTCTTCCTTTGTGTTTTTTGGAGAAAAAGTGTAGTGAAAATAAACTTTGCCACATTTTCCAAACAGACAGTCTAAACAAGATTAAAGATTAAAACATTATGCTTTGTCCATTGTTAGGAAATTATCTGATTAATCAGAAATTTTAAATGAAATTTTGGTTCTTGTTTGCAGGTGTTCTTTGTAGAATCTGTCTGTGATGACCCAGAAATAATTTCAGAAAATATCAAGGTACAGTCTAAACAAGAAAGATTCCTTTTTTGGGTGAACCTAATCTAATTCCCAAGTCTTATGATTGGTTGGTACTCTCTTATTTGTAATTTCTTTTACTAGCAAGTCAAATTTGGGAGTCCAGATTATATTGATCGTGATATAGACGAAGCCATGGAGGATTTCATCCAGCGGATTGAATGTTATAAAACAAATTATATGCCAATAGACGATGAGAAAGACAGGTACAACGTTACATTTTTTAGAAAATATTCTTTCTCCTCTCTTGTTAAAAAATGTTTTAAAACTTTTTTTATTCTATTACTTTGCCCAGGAAACTCTCCTACATAAAGATCTACGATGTGGGTAGTAGATATTTGGTGAACCGGGTTCAAGACCACATTCAGAGCAGGATTGTCTACTACCTCATGAATATCCATGTCACACCAAGATCTATCTATCTTAGCCGCCACGGAGAGAGTGAACTCAACCTGTTAGGTCGGATAGGGGGGGATTCGGGCTTATCCCCGCGAGGACAAAAGGCGAGTAATTCCAAATTTAAACACTTATTACATAAGAAGTAAAAGCAAAGAGTATTTAAATCACTCTTTTTTTCTACAGTATGCCAATGCACTGGCATCCTTCATCAGGGGACAAAAGAGCAAGGACCTGAAAGTGTGGACGAGCCACATGAAGAGGACCATTCAGACCGCAGAGACTCTGGGTGTCCAGTATGAGCAGTGGAAGGCTCTCAACGAGATAGATGCCGTGAGTTTAGAAAACAATTTGATATGTCCAAAAGCAAAATGTCTTTCTTCAGATGGAGAGCAATATAAAAAACTAACATTAACAATTTTCTACAGAGATGACAAAGTCTATGAATCAGTTTTTTTTTATCTCTTCTGGTTAAATAAATGTCTCAAATATAATGCAAGCCATCATGACATTTTGAACAAATGGTCAATGTTTGCAGATGACAAAACAAAGTCATTATTTTTCTGGTCATTTTAGTACAAGCATTTATTTGCAGTCAAGCTGAATTGGGGGTATCTTTTTCTACCTTGATTAAGTGTCAATAAGTGCTTAAGAATGCTCACTGTCTTTTTTTTACAGTAGAGTTAGGTCTTAGTTCAGAGAAAAAGTGATGGGATCATCACCCTTTTTAGTCAATTTCGAACATCTTGCTTTAAGGTCTATTTAAAGAAGGTTTTGTTGTCTTAAGTGGCCTTTTCTGTTCTTTTTTAAAGTGGCACAATAGGAAAGGGAGCTGAGAGATAAAAGGGTAGACATAGCATAGAGTTTTCACACATGGGCTGCCTGCTGAACTTACTGAGCTAAACAGTAGCCAGGGTTCATTCTTCGTGTAGCTACCTTGTCCAAATTGATGAGATTTATTACTTCACAAGAGAATATCTACTTGAATTGTTATGGTGCTTTAACATTTTTGAGTTTTGGGTTGTTTTAGGGGGCAATAAAGGTACTGCCCCTCCCTGGGCTGGCACCTTATCGTGGTGGAGGGGTTTGAGTGTCCCAACGATCCTAAGAGCTACTATTGGTAGGGTCACCCAAGGCAAACAGGTCATAGGTGAGGGATCAGACGAAGTGCTGCCCAAAAGACCCCGTATGATGGATGGGGCCAAAGGGGTTGGATGCAGTGTGGAACGGGTGGTGGCCGGATTCGGGGACCTTGGCGATCCGATACCAGGCTGCAGAAGCTGACTCTAGGGTTGCGGTGGGGAAGGACCCTGAGTTGGTGTGCGAGGCGGAGAGATTCCAGCTGGACATGGTCGGTCTCGCCTCCACGCACAGCTCTGGCTCTGGAACCAGCCTTCCTGAGAGGGGTTGGGCACTCTTCCACTATGGACTTACACCAGAATAGGGTAGAGGGCCTTCTCTGGGTCAGGGGGGACGTCCTTCCCCAAGTGGAGGAGTTCAAGTACCTCAGGGTCTTGTTTATGAATGGGGGTAGGTAATGTGGACGCTGAGCTTAAAGGCAAAGCTGTTGATTTATCAGTCAATCTACGTTACCACCCTCATCTATGGTCAGGAACTTTGGGTCGTGACCGAAAGACTGAGATCGCAGAGCAGCTAAAATGAGTTTCCCTCCACAGGGTAGCTGGGCTATCCCTTAGAGATAGGGTGAGAAGCTCGGCCATCCGGGAGGGGCTCAGAGCAGAGCCACTGCTCCTCAACATCGAGAGGAGCCGGTTGAGGTGTCTAGGGCATCTGATCAGGATGCCTCCTGGTCGCCTCCCTGGTGAGGTGTTCCGGGCTCATCCCACCGGGAGGAGGCCCAGAGGAAGACCCAGGACACGCTGGAGGGACTATGTGTCTCGGCTGGCCTGGGAACGCCTCGGGATCCCCCCGGAGGAGCTGGTAGAAGTGGCGGGGGAGAGGGAAATGTGGGTATCCCAGCGTCGGCTGTTGCCCCCTGCTCTGGGGACCCCATTCTCTGTAGTTTTTATCCTGACTGGGATTGTGCGAACTCTTGATGCCCACATGTAAAATGATGACCACTTAAAAAGTCTCCCCACAACCTAAAAATGTAATTTTACATCAGGCTTGTCCGGATTGTCATAAAACATGGAGACAGGGTTTTAAATGAATATCAGGAGCTGGCATGTGCTTATATCACTTATTGGCTTTTTCAATCTGTTTGAAAGTAAAAGTATCTAGGCAGGCTGCTCTGTTGTTCTGTTGAAGCTGATGATAAACTCATTTTTTCTTTAAGGGAGTATGTGAGGAGCTAACGTATGAGGAGATTCAATCAAATCATCCTGAAGAGTTTGCACTTCGGGACCAGGACAAGTACCGTTATCGTTACCCCAAGGGGGAGGTAAATGCCTCTCCTTTAACTTTTTCTTTTTGTATTTGGGCGTATCCAAAAATCTGACAGCAAATCAAAATCTCGACTTTCTTTAAGAATATACAGAGACTAGCATTTAATATTGAGTGCAAATAAACATGCGTAACCTTTCAATCATGTTGGCCGTGCACATTTAAAAGGATAATGTAAAAAGTAGAAATTCACAATCAAAGAGCGGCTAAATGAGAAATTATATTAATCCTACTTAATTGACTAAACATGTTTTGAATTGTTTTAGAAAACACTTTTATCCACCCCACTTTCTTTCGACCAGATGTTATAAGATTGAAGAACAAAGAAGAAAATCTGTATAAATAGGGGTGATTTCAATTGATAGCATCACGCCAAGATAGTTTTAGATCTTTTGAGTGATGTCTTTTTAATAGATTTGTATCTTCAGTCCTATGAAGATCTTGTCCATCGTCTGGAGCCAGTCATCATGGAGCTAGAGAGGCAGGAAAATGTCCTAGTTATCTGTCACCAAGCTGTGATGCGCTGCCTGCTCGCCTACTTTCTAGACAAACCTGCAGGTATGTCAAAATGTGTGCTAAACTTCCATAAAGATTGCAGTTTTTCCTGTTTGATAATACAAAAAAAAAAAGAAAAAGCAGTGGTAATGATTAGATTTCACAAATGGAAATTGTAATCCAAATTTTCCCCCATTAAAGATGAGCTGCCCTATCTAAGATGTCCACTTCACACAGTGCTCAAACTCACACCAATAGCATACGGTAGGTAGAACAAGTTAGTTTAGACATGAATAATTTGAAATCCTCTAATTACAGTCTGATTTTCTTTTCATCTGCAGGGTGTAAAGTTGAGTCATTTTTCCTGAACATTGAAGCTGTCAACACACACAGAGAGAGGCCGATCGTAAGTTTCCATACGTGTATTTTTGTTTAGATACTGAACTTATGCTAGATATTAATATGTGTAACATTAGCTAATGGCATAGTTAATCTCTAATCCAAACAGAAAATACCAGTACTTCTCAGTTACTTATAATCCTTTTTTATTGGTAGTCAAATTCTTTCTCAATCAAATTCGAAAAGTTTCTTTTGCTATAGCTGTAACACTGAGAGTAACACTCACAGTGAAAACTTTTAGTTACTGAGCTAAGAGTGAAGTAGAAGATTAAAATGTCTCTAAATAGCATATAGGTAAAGATTAAAGTTGTAAATCCTTTTCACACTCATACAACTCCTCTAGGTAATTCCATCTTCAAATATCAGTTTGGCTGTCTATAATTTATAGATTAAAATTATTTCTGATTTCTGAATTTTTTTTGTGAGTGGCATAGGTGGTGTGGTGGTCAGCACTGATTCATGTTTCTGTGTGGAGTTTATATGCTCTCCCTGTGTTTGCATGGGTTTCCTCCCCCCACCATCCAAAAACCATACATGTTAATTGGACACTCAAAATTGCCCTTAGAAGTGAGTTTGGATGGTTTTCATCCATGGGGCCCTGTAATGTATGGGGACCATATGTTTGTGTATACAGTTTTACGAGGTAAATAGTGCTTTTATTCTCTATGACACATTCATATTTTGATGGATGTCAGTGTTTTATGCTCAGTGTCAAGACATCAATCTGTGGATAACTGTTTTTTCTCTGGAGCAACAGCCACGCTACAGAAGTCTGTGCAACATAGGATAGAACACAAAGTGTATAGCCTGAGAACTGTCACTAGCCCACACATAACACACAGACTACCACCCAGCTAACTAATGGACTCAGTTTCTCTACCACTATTCCCTTTTTTGGCATAATTTAGTCTCAGGTTGTATACTGAAAAGGTAGTAGAAAAGGCAGTAGAAAATTAAAAAATAAAAACTGTTACTGTATCACAAAAGTCTAAGACCTGCATGAAGGTTTGTACTTGATCCAAACTCCAGATATAACCATTGTTATTGTCTTCAATGGAGACTAAGAAATTGAAAATGCAAGATGTTCCATGATCTTAAGAAAAAAGAAAAATAATAATATAATAAGACTTACTTCTCTCGAAACTCCTTCATTCCAATGTATTCTTGCTGTCCTAATCCCCTCACTTAAGCTGCATTTTAAGGGGCAGAGATAAGCAGAAAAATTCTGTCTTATAATGAGGCTTTTGCCATATAATAATGCTGATTATTTACTGATTAGATTATCAGTTTAGATGTAAGATAAGCAACCTCTGTATGTACATTGTACAGGAAAATAGCTTTAATAAAGACAGAGTCCTGCTAATTTGGCTGAAAATGGATGTTGAATTTACCAGTTTAGCATGTAATTTGTATAATTTTTTTGTAAAGGATTACAGTTTTAAATAGTCAAATTTACAGATTGTTTTGCAATGTGTTTTACACTCCTGTATTTTTTTAAATATTATTCTGGCAACCACAGCTGACAGTTTTTTTTACGTAAAAAACAGTTTTCTTCAGTGTTTTGCTATTGTCTTTGCAGAATGTCAACACCACCAGAAATCCTGAGGAAGCTCTGCAGACAGTTCCTGACCATGTATAAACACTTTTTTTGAGAAATGGTCAATAGTCATGAGGTGTTACATCTCATAGACAACACTGAATATTAGAGATCCAGGTTAAGCTATTGCTGTGTTGAGTGGAGTTGGTAAATGGGACACAATCTTCCAGAAGCATGTGGATTAACGTGAACTTAACCTGTCGTTAGTTGTAAAACCTTTGTCTGTGAAAAGTGTCTTATTCTTTTTTGGCTGTATGTGGTCTTAAAGCACGATAATGTTTACCGGTGGTTTATTTTAAAAAGTGTTTTAAAAGTAAATCGATGAGGCTGTAGTTGTAACAATGAGGAACAACTTTTGTTAAGATTACAAAATGTGATGATATAAATGTATTTAAAAATGTAGGGCTCAGCACCACGGAGAGCACCCAAACTAATGAAACACAAGTGTAAATTTGGTTATCTGACTTTTGTTAAATATTAAAATCAATCTGACCTTGAATGGGAAAAATCATTGAATGAAGTCAAAACTATACACACCAAATAGAAAACTAGTTCACATTGCAAAAGAGAGATTACCCTTTTTTTTTTTTTACATTTGTGTTTTTTTAGGTTTATGCAAAGCAAGGAAAGTTAAATCAAGCTAAATTTCTCCTATGTCAGTAAATAGATCTTTCTGAAATTATCTGAAGGGATACACAAACTCACATCAGGGAGTAATTTAGGAAAAGACTCCAACTTTATTTTCTTTTTTTTCTTTTTTCATTGGAAGCGTTCCAACAGATCAGCGAGAGGAGTTTAAAAAAAAGGTGAAAAAAACAGTGGAGCCGGGTTTAATAACCCCTCATTTCTCCTGGAACACGGAACATAGTGGCAGTCCGCGAAGTTTCCACTATGAGTGAAAACAAGCTGGCTGCTTTATTTTTGCAACGGAGTGGGACTCGTACAACTCTGATTTCCATGCGACATTGAACCCCTCAATTTTTCTTTTTCTTAAGGTTTTCATCTTTATAAAAACCACTCTGGCTGGACATGCAACCGTTGTCGACACGTTTTTTTTCATGGATATTATTAGTGGAGCTGTTTACACTGCAGTGGTAAGGGAGTAGGAATGACTGTCTCTTGTAAACAGAATCTTGTGTAAAATGTGAGGCGTGAGTCCGAGTTGCGTCAGTTAACGTGAGACCGCGGGACATTTCACCCTATTTCACACTAAATGAGTATGAACATGAAGTTTTTTAAAGTCCAGTTCATGCTACTTTGCTTCACTCTGTATGTCCGAGAGGGATTTTTTGGGGAATATAAGGCACAAGTTGGCAAGGACATTCTCTTAAAGGTGAGTTGTTTTTTTTCACACGATTAGTACTGGAGCACGCCCCTCCAGACAATATTATAGCAACTCATTACAGAAATACCAGAGCATTTATTCAGTGATCTATAACTGTTTGAAATTAGTGTATAATATTGTTCTCCAAAAGAAAAAAAAGTTAAATAAAAAAAGTATATATACATTTAATGTATATGTAAATGTGTATATATATGTATATGTAAATAAAATAAAAAAATAAAAATAAAAAAATAAAAAAAAAAAAATATATATATATATATATATATATATATGTATATATATATATTTATTTTTTTGTATTTGTATATATATATACACATTCAATCATTTAATCATATAATTTTTTTTTACATTTCTTTTCTTTTGAGGACAATATTATGCAGTAAATTCAAAATGTTATAGATCACTTAATAAATGTTCAGGTATTTCTTTATATATATATATATATATTTAGTGAGTTTCCACTCACAGAGTAATATGTTTTTGTTACATTCCCACAAACTCACAGGATATTTGGTAATGTATTGACACAGCAATGACTTGTGTGCAGAATTAACACGGGCGACTGAACAGTCCAGCCCTGGCTGGCCCTGTGTACAGTGAACGCATTTATTTCCAGTTTCACTCGCCTTCATCTATTCATGAATGGCTTTGATTCAGCCTGTTTTTAAACAAAATCTTGACCTCTCATGGATAGGTTATGAAGGTTTACATAAAGAGTTATTCTTCTATAGGTTCTACAGTTTGAATACAACATGCTATTTCTGATAAGCACATGGTATAACATACCAAGTTACTTTACTGACTTATAGCCTTGTCTCTTTTCCAGAGGATAAAACGTCAGAGCAAATCAACAAAACCAGTGGTAAGTGTGTGAAGTAAAGCAATGCTGTACAGGAGACACTTAAACAATAAACCCATTGAAAAACAACTGCTTCTGCCTCTCTGGATATCTTTAGCTGATTATATGTGGCTTTTTAACTCAGTGTGTTTCAGAGTTAGCAGTGAAGCAATTTCCAGAGAATATAAAGTAATCCTTTCTGTCTGGGTCAAACCACAGCTTTCTTAAAGACCGGAAAGTTGGAGTTCTGATGTTGCAGTCTTCCTCATGCCTGTCGCTTTGGCCTGAATATGGCCTGCACGGACCAGATTGGTCCTAGTAAGCATGAGTATTTCCCAACAAACAATGAGTGGGATACCACATATGGAACTGTTTTGTCTTATATCATTAACTTGTCAAAGCATTGCAGCAGAAGTTATAAAAATAGCAGCAGGCTTTTTGTGTTATTATTATTTATTTTTTTACCATGTTTTAATGTAACAGAGATTTATGGAGGGACCGCATTGTTGAATTGATATCCTAAAAGATATGTCATTTCCTTTATGAAGCACAATCCAACCACTTGGAACAAAATGATATATTGTGATAAATTGTGTTTCATATTTAAACACTTAACAATACAATCCCCTATGTTACTGTGAAACCGCAGTGCTTTGTTTTAAACCTTTCAAAATGATGTGTGCTTGTTATGTCACCAGCTGAAGGTGACAGAATACCACGTGAAGTGTTCAGTGGTATCCCACTATGCTGTTACGACAGTCAAAAGCTCAGTGTGGAATCAGCTACCCATAATAAAGGAGGCAGCTTTCGAAGTGGACCTGCCCTCCTCTGCTTTCATCTCCAACTTCACCATGTAAGTCCAATACCTACAATTGCCAGCTCTTAATATGAAATCTGATTTGTTTCAGTCTTCTTTTTCTAAAATGTACCATTCCTTTTTTAATTGTTACCATCTATTTCAATCTTAGCCTACTCATCTCATATTCCAGGTATTAATTACTGTCTGGAATACTGTCTGTATTCCTGACAGTATTGACTATAAAAAGATTAAAGATCTTGTATCTACAGCTGTCAGATCTAAAATATTGTAGTTAACAGAGAAAATAATTTTGAACCAGTAGAAATACTAATCTCCTGCAATGTGAATAGAGACATGAATAAATTATAATATACTGACATAAAACTTCAGAAGAACCGCAGTTCCGGTTCAGAGGTGATGCATTTTATAATTTGCTTACTTAGGAGTTGAAAACCACTCTTCTTTAAACAGGCTAAATATAAATAAAACAAATAATTCAAAATTCCAATGGCTAGATTTGGGAACGGAAGCAACCTAGGAGGGGGAACTTGAGGGCAGATGAATACCAAGCTTTCAGAGTCAGAAAGTGAAAAGAAAAATTGACATAAGTTTGCTCAGTCCCCCTTTTTCTCCCCCACATAGTTTACCAAGGCAGCCTGACAGTTCAGGTACACTGAATACACACATATGTGTGCAAAGATAGATATAGACTTAGATGTTTCAAGATTGTGTGACTAGAACTTGAACTACTTTCTGGAGCAAAAGCTCTTCACAGTTTTCTTTAACTTACACTCTTTCATTTTCATGTTTAAAAAAAAAAAACTCACATACAGTTATATATATTTACATACTCACCAGACCCTATACAGCCTCTGGCATATCACCAAACACCCAAAGGGAAATAGTTGTGGTAAATGTATTTCATTAATACTTTGGCATTTCTGTGTGTGAAACTAAGAACTCTTTGTTCTGTGAGAAGGTCGCTGATGTTCCATTAAACCCTTAGCCCCTCAGCCACATGAATATAAGCACCTCCACTTTCCACCCTGCACTTTCATGCCACTATGTCTAAAACAAGATCTTCAAACTGTGTGTCTTAATTCAGACACGCCTTGATGTATTTCTCTGGATATTTACTCAAAACACATTACTTTATATCAGCACCACGTCATGTGACATCAGTAGTCACCAGATTGTAGAAAGTGCAATCATTTAATGGAAGTCCATTTTTTTATACTTTTTTTATCTAAGATTTTGCTGGATGAGGTAAAAAGCAGAGGTCATAATCACTTTTCATTAATGCTGTTTTTAGAGGGAAATTACCCTTTTCCGTTCACCATGTTTGTAACACTACACCCCACCTTCAGATGGTGTGAACTCCATCTGCAAATAAGTGTGATGACTGTTTGTGAAGCAGCTTTGTGGCTTCCCTGGAAACACAAGGGGTTGAAATTCTAAATCTCACTCAAATGCTAAATGCAGGCCACTGACTGAAACATAATCTAACTACTGTAAGTCAAACAGAGAGCTTTTTCTTCCTCATCTTTCCTCTATCCAATCAGCACCTCTAATGGTAAGGTGTATGTGGCCCGGGTGAAGGAAAGAACTGCAGCCAGAAGAATTTATGATGCTGCTAAGAAGCAAGGAAAAACAGCTGGACTTGTTGCTACCAAGTCAGTACTGCCAACACCTTTAACGACAACAGCATAATATTTCACCGTTTTAATTTGCAATGCCATGCTATTCTTTGTTATTTCAATGTAGATTTTTTTAAACTGACTTTATTCTTGTTACTTTATGGTGTTACAGGGAAAGGGAAATTGAGAAATTTCGGGTGGCAGTGAGTGTGCCATCAGGAACTCATATGTCCTTCCACCTCTCCTATGAAGAGTTGTTACCTCGTCGACTCGGACGATATGAGCTCAGTTTGGGTTTGAGGCCTGGACAGCTTGTGCAGAACCTAACCTTAGATGTCAGTATAACAGAGAGAACGGGCATTGCTTTCATTAAGGTCCTTCCTCTGAAGACGAGCCGACTGCTCTCAAACACTGCTCAAGGTAAAATGCCTGATATGATCTGCTTAGATAGGCGGGACTGTGCAAACTTTAAATCTAAGAATAACTGTTGGCATAAACTGCATACAAGGTACATGAGATATATGTGCTATATCTTCTCCAACCCTCATAATAACAAGACCACGGTTGAAAGTTTTTTTAAATACACATACTGCATAGTAATTGCCAGTTGGGTTAGGTCACAACAGACCAAAGACGGTCACTTTTAAGTTTTAAGAACTATGATAACTGATCAAATAAAATCAAAAAATCAAAATCAAAGTGCCTTTCTCTACTCTATTAATGCATTTTAACCTAACTAGTCTACCTTTGTCCAGAAGAGCAAAATCCATAGACTCACTGTGCCCATGTCAGAAAAAAGGCCTTTATATTGAAGTTGTTGCTCTGGGGGGGAAGTGTTGTTGTCCTCGTTGGAGTCTGTCTCTTAGTTTGATGCCCAAATAACTCCACTACCATAGAGTTTGTCTATGCTTAGCTGGTTAGCCAACAAGAATCAAAAGCTTCAGAGGTTTTCTGGACACAATTTTGACCTCAAACCTGTGCTCAGGTCAGATGTTTCTGTACAATGTTGTACCACTTTGTAATGGTATTCAAGGTATGCCACAGACGGCGTCCTACACCCTGCTCCCATGTGTTGGACTATCTCAGAGGTCTCTTTGGCCAACGTGCAACACAGGGTCCTGTGTGGTCCTTCTCAATCCACCACTTCTTCAGTTGATCACTAGGTTTCAACTGGCTGATGCACTCCGTCTTGGACTGATCAATTTTTCTCACTTGTCACGAGTTAACTAAACACACTATCTATCTATCTATCTATCTATCTATCTATCTATCTATCTATCTA